ATTTGAACCACAAGGTCAAGGGTTCCAGCTCACCAGCCAATCTTCAGAAACCCTATATAGGGTCGCAATGAGTTACAGCCAACTCGAAGGCACTTAACCACAACAGCAGAAATGTAAATGTCCAGCTGTCTTTCTCAGTTGGCTTCAGGGGTGGGCCTCCTTGAGGAAGAATACCCTAAATGACTTTTCAGGATCCCTTCAGGTCTCTCTGTTCAAATAGCCTTGGGAACAGTGGGAATGGCTATAAGCACTCACTACCTGACCGCTGACTGCCAGATTGTCCCTGCCTGACATGAGCAAGCCACTGATGGCCTCTCCAAAGTGACCTTGACATTCATAGCTATTATGGACTCTATCACTTACTAACTCACATATGCTGGTTTTTGTTTTGTTTCGTTTTTTCCAAGGTCAATTTCCTCATCTTCCTGAAAATTCTCAAGCTTATCATTTCTAAGCTCAAAGCCCATAAAATGTGCTTCAGAGATTATAAATTCAGGTGAGTGCCCAGAGGTCAGTACCCAGCAGTCGAAGGTTACTTCAATCCCTTCTGGGTGCCATGCCTGGTGTCCAGGAAGGAAGTTCAAGTTTCATTAGTATGTGCCTGTCCTCTGGGGAGGGTATTAGGGAGAGCTCCTCAGGAAAAGCTTTCAGAGGGTCATGCAGGATTTTTGGCAAAGACTGAGGACCTTTTGGATGCCATGAAAATGAAGTAAATGGTGAGGAGTCCCTGACTCACATGTTCTCCCAGCAGAGAACTATTAAAATACCCCAAAAAATGGGTGGCTTCTGGGGAAGGGAGTTTGCCATCTGAATGGAAGTTTGAATGTTGATTTCCTTGGGGAGGGATTGAACATAATGATGTAAAAGAAACATTCATAACATGCAAGTAGAATTATGGGATTTCTTGAAAACTTGAGACATTTAGAGTCCAAGGTAAAAGAGTCTTCCTGAAGCTGCTCTTTTTTTGTGTATAACCTGCCTGTCCCATCTTCTGTTTTCTGGCATGACAGATGTGTCCATTCATAGTCAGATCATAAGTGTCATGAGCCAAAAAGTAGACCCAGTGAGGCCAAGTGGCCAACTGTCTGAGATCAGTTGGTCAGTGTGGGGTCATGACCAGCATCCCATCCTTACTGAATTAATGCATAAGATAGGAGTCACACCAGGCCCACGTTTTGCTTGTTAAGAGGATAAAGTAGGAGTTGTCATCGAGTAGAGGTGGCAAATCATGGAAACCCCATGTGTGTCAGAGTAGAACTGTGCTTCATAACTTACAGTAACTGGTTTTTCGGAAGTAGACCACGAGGCCTTCCTTCCGAGGTATCTTTGGGTGGACTCGAACCTTCAACCTTTCTGTTAGCAGCTGAATTCATCACCCAGGCAATCCTTGAGAGGATGAAAGGAGGCCACAGATATGAGTGGCCCGATCACATCCGATGTGGGAAGTGGTATTTGTCCAGGACCTGCTCCCCAAAGGTCCCAAGGGATAAACCCACAGTTCAGGACTGGGCAGATGTATACTGTATTTGCTAGTGGAAGCTTTGATCTAATGAACTGGCCTGGGCTGTCCTCCACACTGTCTCTCTCAGTACTTCTGGTCAAGTCTCTAAGTGGCTGAGTAGCCTTTTTGGCTCCCTTTCCCAAGGCTCAGGCTTCATCTCGTCTCTCGCATCATCTCTGAGGATGGAGGTCCAGGGCTGAGAGCAGTACCGGTGTTCCTTGCTCAGAGCCCTTCCTAGATGGCAGCCTCCTCACTAACCAGGCCCAGGGAAGATCAGCTGGAGGCCAGCCCTCCCTGGAGGCAGAAGTGGGGAGGAGATGAATCCCAAGACACCACTTTCCATGCAGACCCGAGCCTGAATCCTAATGCTTTGTGACTCCATCTGCCCCAGGGGCTTTCCCAGGGTCCAGAGCCATAATTGCCCCTCACAGTAGCTTTTCATTCTGATTGTTCATATCATCACCTGGCAGCCGGCCAAAAGCCCAGAGCGAACCTGGGTCTTCCTACTCAGGAGATTCTAATATACAAGGAGACTGGAGGACCACCGGCTCAGACAGTTTAGTGAAATAGCACTTAGAATTTTCTGCTTGGGCCATAACGAATGTATTCTTAAGTAGCCTCAATATTTATTACCTTTTCCAAAGTCTCCACTAAAGTAATCCATGACAGAGAAAGCACACTCTATTAGTACATTTGTTAGTACATACCTCATCATATGTGTACATCGTCAGTTAAACTAATATGTTGTTGTTGTTAAGTGCTAGCGAGTCAGTTCTGACCCATAGCGACCCTGTATAGGGTTTCCGAGGAGCGCTTGGTGAGCTTGAACAGCTGACCTTGCAGTTCACATGGCTTTGCAGTCTGGCACACATTAACCCACAGCGCCACACCAGGACTCCCAATATATATATATATATATATAATGAAATACACAAGGAACGGAAATTTTAAAAACAAGAGAAAGAAACCATACATAAAATGTTTAGTATTAGGTTTTCTTCCAAATCAAATGGATAATGTTGCACCTCCCTGGAGTGTGTGCACCCCCATGGGAGCCATTGATCTGGGGGAGAGAAAATCAAGACAGAGGGGACCCTCGCTTAGTTTTTCTTGTCTCAATCTGGATAGGAACAGTCTTATTTCTCACTCTTCCTGATTTTGAGAACTCTCAGAATACAGCTCTCAAGATTGCTCCCCCCCCCCCCCCCCAACAGAAGTATATTTTAGGAAAGTTTAAGTTTGGGCCCTATAAGAGAAACAAGTTGTTAGGAGCCAGAGAACTTAATGTATCCTAGCACTTGTCCCTGGGCTCCACCCTTCAAGTAGAGGAAATTGTCAACGGCCCAGTTGTCCAGCCTGGAGAGGAAGAGCTGGGGCAAGTGTGCGGGAGGAACCTCAGGGCTGCCAACAGCGAGAGTAATGCCTGTGGAAACCTGGGCTCAGCCAGCCGTCAGCGTTCTTTGCTATGTGTGGCCCCCAGAGTGGCTACTATGCTTTTCCCCTAGATTAAAAAGCCTTAATTTTGCAAACAGGGAGTGGACAGAACTCTTAGAGAATTTATGAGTCCTCTATTGTAAAGGAGATTTTTTTTCCCATAACATGCCAAACCCTAGACTCCTTTCTGAAAGTTGTTTTCTGTGAAAGTATTGAATGAGGGTAGTTGCCTTCATTCAGTGAATGAACAGATAATGGAATTTTTGAAGCCCTTTTGTAGGCCACAGCCAGTGGTCTTCCAGCTGAGTCCAACTCTTGGCAACTCCTGTCAAGCCCTTGTATCTCTTAGTAGAAGTGGGGTTTTCATTGGCTGATTTTTTTGGAAGTACATTGCCAAGCTTGTCTTCTGAGGTGCACCTGGGTGGACTTGAGCTTCCAACCTTTGGGTTAGTAACTGAGGGCATTGCCTATTTGCACTACCCAGGGACTCCAAAATAGTTATAAATATGTTTCAAGTGAATGAAAAACCAATCGAAGTCATTGAGATTGTAAAGGATTTGAGAGCAGGGACTTCTTTTTAAATCATCATGGCTAAAGTAGACTGATCACTTACCGTATGTTTTCCACATGTTCTTACATCTTTACGACGATTCCACCAGGTAGGTGCTGTTATCAGCATCATGCTCATTTTATAGTAGAGGAAAGTGACAGACTGAATAAGGTCACATTTACTAGTAATTGGCATTGCTGGGACTTGAACCTTAGTTCCAGGGATTGTTACTGAACTCTGCTGTGCCTGAGCACATCTCCTCCTCCTTCACTGTTCTTGCTCGTGGGCCCAGAGCACATGCACCATAAATATTTATTAAAGAGCTAAATGACGGCAAAAAAACTAAACCATTTAAATAAACATGTGATTATAGATGAAAAATAAGTATAAACACAGCCCCTAAGAGTAAACTGCTATAGTTATTTGTGGATTTTAAGCTCAACAGGGACACAAATAGTACTTTGTCTAAGGTAGAAGTTAGAATAAGGTGAGAGCCTGGGGAATCCCTTCTTAAATCCTTCCAGAGCGGTGGTAGTTACTGAAACTGCCCCCAAAGTTTATATAAGTATAGTTATTCTTGAAAAATAATCTTGTATTAAATGCAGCGAGGATTTCTAGCCTGGATCTTGGAACATGAAAAGAGCTGCTGCTAGTATGCTTTGGAGTCGGTTCCGATCCATAGCGACCCTGTACAGGGTTTCCAAGGCTGTAAATCTTTACGGGAACAGAAAGCTTCATCTTTCTCCTGTGGAACTGCTGGTAGTTTCAAACTGCTGACCATGAGGTTAGCAGCCCGATTCGTAACCACTACGCTAGCACAGCTCCTCATGAAAAGGACAGCAGTGGGAAAACTAGTGAAATCTAAATAAAGTCTGGAGTTCAGTTGTTAGGAATGTACCGATACTGGTTTCTTAGTTTAGATCAGTGTGTTGTCGTTCTGTATGTCAGCTGTTAACATCCGGGAGACTGGGTGAAAGGTATACAGGAATTCTCTGTACTAGCTTTGCTACTTTTCTAGAAATCTAAACATTTTTCCAAAACAAAAAAGTTTATTTTCTTAAAATCCCACTAAAAAGACAAACAAAGAAAATAATGCCTTAGTATGGTCCCAAGAGGGTTGCTCTGAGTCGGAACTGACTCGGCAATTAACAAGAACCAGTGGATGGTAAGACATGGGTTTGCACGTATGTGTATTCAGTGTCAGAACCAGTTCTAACTCATGATGAATCCACGCATGTCAGAGTAGAACTGTGCTCCACAGGATTTTCAATAGTTAAATGACTAGACATGGATCTCCAGGTTTTTCTTCTGAATTAACTCTTGGTGGACTCAAACCTTCAACATTTTGGTTAACAGCTGAGTATGTTAAATGTTAACATACTCCTAGTACGTAAGTATGGATCATTAAAACCTAGAAATGCTTGGGAAAAAAAGGAAGGTGGTTTGACCCAGTGGCAGTAACAGTGGGCTCAAACTAGAGTTGTGAGGATGGCACAGGACCGGCCGTAGAGTACATAGGGCCGCTGTGAGTCGCAACCGACTCCACGACACTTAACAACAACAATCCAGAACTAGGGTGACAAACTCAAACACAGGGGCCAAGCAAGTAACACAAATGAGTAGTGCAGGCTGCCTGAGGGCCTGGAGACCCAGGGACAGTCTCCACCCAGCGGTAGCCAGTGGTCGCTAAGCAGGAATTTGGACCCAGGGTTGCCAGATGTCCCATTTTCCAAAAGAATATAGGAATCTGAACTAGCTCCTAATTCTTTAAAGATGGTTCCCAACAACAACAATAACTACAAGGTATAAGCAAAAGCTGTCATCCACTCACATACAACCTACACTCATCAATTTGCAACCTCTGAACTAGAGTGTTTGAAAAAACACTCCTGGAAAATAAAGACTTTAAATCATCTCTCCTCGGGAGCCCCTTAATGTGGCCTCGCTAACCGACTCCTGGGGCTGAGGCTGAGGGAGAAGCTACAGCTTTAGCTCAGGAGACCCACAGCACCAGGATTGGTCTGTGCTTAATGTCCAAGCGCAGGTAGACACAGCCCACCTGGCCGGGCTAGGCTCCTGCCTGTATAGTGGTTCTTACTCTTCCTACTGACTTTAGAGCCTTTTAGGGTTGTTGTTGTTGTTGTTTTCTCATTGATAACATTTGTATGACTCTCACAGACACAGGATCCATACATAATAAGTTCTTTCTGTTGTATAAAGAGCTCATAAGTCTTCCAGAAGAAACTGCTTATGGCCTAGCCAGTAGCTTGCTGTCAAGTTGACTTCCAACCCTGGTGCCCCCATGTGTGTCACAGCAGAACTGTGCTCCAGAAGATTTTCCAGAGCCAGTTTTTGAGAAGTGCCTCTGGGTAGACTTGAACCTCCAACGTTTCAGTTAGTAGCCCAATGCTTTAACCATTTGCACCACCCATGAACTGATCATGTCCTTTGACTTCTCCATCTCTAACTGCAGAGGTTTCAGAGAGTAAGCTCTTCCTCATCTGGCCCTTTAAGAAAAGTAGCTTGATAGCAAAGAAATCACCATTAGTAGAAGTACAGCCAGAATGCTCCTTGGAAGCCAGGATGTCCAGACTTTGTCTCTCATACTTCATACTATCAGAAGGGAGCAGTCCCTGGAGAAGGATCTCCTGTCTATTAAAGTGGAGGGTCAGAGAAAATGAAGACGTTCCCATAACGAGATGGATTAACACAGTGGCAGCAGCAATGGGTTCAGGAGTAGCAATGATTATGAGATTGGTCCAGGACCAGACAGTGTTTCCTTCTGTTGTGCATATGGTCACTATGAGTCAGTACTGACTCGATGGCACCTAACAACATGTTTTTAGCAAAGATTCCTGAAAAGCTCTTTTCCTTTTTTGTCAGCCTTTTCATTTTAAGGTCAGTGATTGCTAAATAAAACTACATAATTTTACAGTAGTGTAATCATATAGCTTTTTAAATAAAGCCATGAAATGTTTAACATAAAAAAAGAAAAGTAGCTGGACTAAATTATCATTACAGTTAAGTTCTTTTTATTTAGTGTGTATAAGACTTTAGTTTTGTTTGTGTCCTGAGCATGAGTCACCTTTGCAAGTGTAGTTTTAAACCAACTAGCTTGGTAGTAAAGAGCAGTGGTTCTCAAGTTTGGTTGCTTATCAGAATCCCAATGGAATGGTCCTTAAAATTCAGACCTCCAGTACTCAACCTTCAGAGATTTGGATCCAGGAGATGGATACTGGGGCCCAGGAATCAACATCTTTTTAAAACATCTCCTTAAGGAACTCTTAATTGTCAGCCATGTTTGGGAACCGCTGATACAGGGTGTTTGGAACCCAGCTGTTCAGTCTGGCCACGTAGGTGGTACAAAAGAATGTTCATCTCTACATACAACAGGGAACCTCCAAACTACACTTTTAAGAGGAGGATCCGGTTTTCATTTCCGGCAGCCCTTGCTCTCACCAGGGCTGCAGGCAGCAGGGAATTTGAAAGCAAAGCCCCTTCATGACTCTTTACGGTTTATAGATATATCACAATCAGTATGGGGGAATTCATTCATTCAATTAATGTTTCTTGAGGCTCTACTTTGAATTTTGTGTAGGTATGCAACAGTGAACAAGACCACACTGGTCTTAAATGTGTCACTGGGGGCAAACTGAAAAATCAACTAGTCAGTATGATAAGATAAGATCCAATGCCATGCACAGTGGATCAGAAAATGTTGTCTGTTCACAAGGCGGCCTCATAACAACTGTTTGGTTGTCCTTTACAGATTGGCGAAATCAACACTGGTCCTCATTCCTTTATTGGGTGTCCATGAGATCCTCTTCTCTTTCATTACTGATGAGCAAGTTCAAGGACTTTCAAAACTGATACGGCTCTTCATTCAGTTGGCACTGAGCTCGTTCCATGTAAGTTGGTGTCTTTATCATGATGTCTGGGCTTCGGAGCAAGAAAAATGCACGTGGACCCAGTAGATTCAGAACTAAAGAGCCCATGGATACAAATCAAGTTCAAACTTCATCAGTACGAGGCTTTGGCATTAGAGGGCTATGTAGACGGAAGTGTTTTTTGTCTTGATCCAACCAGTGTAACTCAGTGACTAAGACGGGAAAAGCAGTTGGTGTCCGGGGCTCTCAGACTTGGTGTGACTCATGTTCGTATTAACTGTGAGTGTCAACATGAAGCCTTTGATTAAGTGCCTATTTTTGCTGGGGTTCTGTGCAGAGCTTTGTACCATTGTCTGCAGGCCAGGTGACATTACCAAGAACCCAGGACAACTTGGGTAGGGGTCACTGAGTCCAAACCTTCTTGATAGATGTGTGGGGGCCGAAACTAGAAAGAAGGGGTCAGTTATGGTTATATTGTTGGTGCATTTCATTTAACAAACTACCCCAAAACAATTGTCTTTATTAGTTCTTATGATTCTGAGTATCTTGTTGTTGTTGTTGTTAAGTGCCTTCGAGTCGGGTCCAACCCATAGCGACCCTGTACAGGGTTTCCGAGGGTGTAAATCTTTACGGGAGTAGAAAGCCTCATCTTTCTCCCGCGGAGCAGCTGTTAGTTTCGAACCGCTGACCTGAGTATCTTAGAGCTACTATAATAGAAATGCCAGAAGTGGGTGGGTTTTGAAGAATAGAATCTTACTTGTATAAGTTGTTTTTAAGTGTCATCAAATCAGTTCTGACTCATAGTGACTCTATCTAGGAATTCTGAGGCTGTAAATCTTTGTGGGAGCTGGACGTCTCATCTTGCTCTTGGGAGTGGCTGGTGGATTTGAACTGCCGACCTTGTGATTCGCTGTCCAGAGTCACCATGCTCCCGACTTGTATAAGTGGCAGAGGTGAAATGTGTACCCGTGGTCATCAAGTAGACTCCGACTTGTAGTGACCTTGACCCCATAGGACAGATTCGAACAGCCCATAAGGGGTTTCAAGGCTGGCATCTTCACAAAAGCAGATCCACAGCTTTCTCCCACAGGACTGACTTGTTGTTAAGTGCTGTGGAGTCAGTTCTGACTCATAGTGACTCTGTATAGGGTTTCCAAGGAGTGGCTGGTAGGTTTGAACTGCCAACCCTGCAGTTAGCAGTCCAATGTTTATACTACAACACCACACCAGGACTCCACCGCCAGGAGTGACTGATGGGTTCAAATCATTGACCTTTCCATTAGTGGGTGAGTAGTTTAACCATAACACTACTAGGGTGCCCTGTGAGGATCAGAACCAGCAACACCAAGTTCCCTGTTCGTTGTTATTGTTAAGTGCCATAGATTCAGTACTGACTCATAGCGACCCTGTATAGGGTTTTTGAGGAGCAGCTGGTGAACTTGATCCATAGACCTTGCAATTCAAACCAGCCTTGCAGTCCAGCACGCTAACCCACAGTGCCACACCAGGACTCCAAGTTCCCTATACCACAGTCTTAAAGCCACTGCTGGTTTGGTGCTGTAGAATCAGCACTAGACTGAGAACCACAAGGTTGGCAGTTCAAACCTACCAGCTGCTCCTTGGAAACCCTGCACAGGGTCACTATGAGTCGGAACCGACTCAATGGTACTTAACAACAACAATAAAGCCTCTGCCACTAGCCAAGGTCAGACAGAATGTGCCCTTTGGTTGTTTACATGATTATATAATCTTCAGTGTTTTTGTGTATAAAAAAACAACCAGAGGGAATAGAATGTTGAATGATGATGCACAGAGGGGATTGTAATCATTGTAATAAAATGAAATATGATAGGATGATGAGTGTACAACAGATATTCTTCCATGTAAACTATCACTCAATTCATAAAAACTAAAAGACAGCAATTAGTCTGCTATATTTGGTCAGACATTTAATTAACTCACCCCTAAAGGAGCTCTGGTAGCGTAGTGGTTACGAATCGGGCTGCGAACCTTAAGGTCAGTGGTTCGAAACTACCAGCCGCTCCGCGGGAGAAAGATGAGGCTTTCTACTCCCGTAAAGATTTACACCCTCGGAAACCCTGCACAGGGTCGCTATGGGTCGGAACCGACTCGACGGCACTTAACAACAACAACAACAAAGGAGCTCTGATAGCGTAGTGGTTACAAATCGGGCTGCGAGCTGCAAGGTTAGCAGTTCGAAACGACCAGCTGTTCCGCAGGAGAAAGATGAGGCATTCTGCTCCCATAAAGATTTACAGCCTTGGAAACCCTGTGCAGGGTCACTATGAGTCGGAACCGACTCCACGGTACTTAACAACAGCAACAACAGTGTGATGGTGGAGTTCTAGTGTGGCGCTGTGGGTTAATGCACTGGACAGCAAAGTTGGTTTGAACTGCAAGGTTGGTGGTTCAAGCTCACTAGCTGCTCCTCGGAAACCCTATGGGTTGGAACCGACTTGATGGCACTTAACTGTTACAGCAGTTTTAGATTCGAGATTGTTACAGCAGCTCTGGGCCTGGGAGTGACTCAGCAGCCCTGGGCAAACTGAAGCCACTCAGAAAGGTGAAGTAGGGTTTCAGATTTTATTAAGCCAGCTGACTCAAAGTAGCTAGCTTTTCCAGATTCTGAGCACTAAATACAGCGCAATGCAAACTTATATGGGGTCAGAATTGGGGAGGGGTTAGGTTGCAGACCTGTTTGAAGACAGGAGGGAAACCAGAGGATTGGTTCTACTCAGTAACCTGATTAACATTCTAGTTTGACTTCTGGGTGGAGAGGATTGGCCCCACTCAGTAACCTGATTAACATTTTAGCTAGTCTCCTAGGCAAAGAGGGCAGTGAATGTTTTTACCTTTTCCTGTTCATAACAATAACAATATGTGAGGGCTAGAACTGCAGTTGACTTAGCAGGACTAAGCCAAATGATTTCATGGGCCTTAAATGCCCGTGGGCTGCATATTTCCCACCCCTGACCTAGAGGTTCAATTAGACGACAACATCCAAGATGGCACATTCGCATGGGTAGAGATGTGATGCTGGCTGTTGTCTGGGAGCTCGGCTGAGACTACTGATCAGTCTGGAATCTGAGAAGGAGCATTCCAAGAGCAAATACTCTTAAGAGGGAGAAAATAGAAACTTACAGTCTGAGAAGCTCACTTCTATCTCATTATATTGGTAAAAGCAACCACAAAGTCATCCCACATTTGATGTGAGGGAAAGTGAAGTCCACTTCTTGGTGTGAGGAATAGAATGCACCTTTAAGGATGGGAGGAATCAGTAGGGCCATCTCTGCAGACGAGTGACCACAAGTGGCTGGCTTGTCCTCTGCTAACCACTTAGCACCACTATTCCTGAGGTACTTTTAGAAACACACTTTAGAGAGCTGTGTGTGAGCAGGGGGCTTCCACTTTCTTCCACTTTCTCCCACCAGGCAGGAGAAATTGCCAATACTCATTGCTCTTCAGAACCAAGAGAAATAAGTGTAACAACAACAGCCCATTGTTGAATATTTATTACGTACCAGATACTGTGCTGTGCACTTACCTCATATTATTTCAACAAATCTGTGTCCGTTTACAGATGAGCAAAGTGAGGTTCACCAAATTCAAATGAGATGCCCAAACTCACCCAGACAATAACGCACAACATTGAGATTTAAGCCTACCTTCTTCCGTGTGGGCTTTTAGGTTTTAAGTAACAGAAAACAACTCTTAAGTACAATTCCCTGGGATGCATTGAAAGACTATTGGGGTGTTCAGAGTCAAAGAGCAGGATGGAAGTTGAATTAGAAAAAGGACAAGAACCACTCTGAGCATCTAGACAACAGTTGGATGAGAGGAGACGGGACATCACTAGTTCACCTTTTTTTTTCAAAACAGAGTGAAAAGCAACATTATTGTATTTTGTAGTTTTCATGAACGATAAAAAAAAAAAAAAATCTAATCAACTTGTTTCTTTGTCCTTTGCATATTCACTCTCCCAGAAGCAACCCTGTAGGACAGAGTGAACTACTCCCTAGAATGTGTGAGACTGTGAGTCATTGTGGGAGCAGATAGACTCATCTTTCTCCTGAGGAACACTGATGGGTTTGAACCACCAACCTTGAGGTTAGCAGCCCAATGCTTACCCCACTGTGACACCAGGATTCCCCTCTCCTTCACACGTCGTTGTTGTTAAGTACCATGCAGTCAATTCCAACTCATAGTGACCCTGCACAGGGTTTCCGAGGCTGTAAATCTTCACGGAGCAGAAAGCCTCATCTTTCTCCCGTGGAGCAGTTTCGAACTGCCGACCTTGAGGTTAACAGCCCAATTCGTAATCACTACGCTACCAGAGCTTCTTTCTCCTTCACATAGACTCCCAAAATAAGAAGACATGGGCCAGAAAAGCCAAGAGGAGGTCCTGGATCTTAGTACTGTTTTCATAGTTCCTCCTTAAGAGAACACAGGTCATTGAGAACTAAGGACTATCTCTGCTAAATTCATGGACAACGGCTGAAGGAGTGAAGAAAAAGTATATTGACAGAGAACGGCCAGAAATTCAAGCTGGATTCACAAAATGACATGGAACTATCATTGCTGATGTCTGATAAATCTTGGCTGAAAGTAGAGAATCACAGAAAGATGTTTATCTGTGCTTTATTAACTATATAAAAGGCTTTCGACAGTGTAAATCATGACAAACTCTGGATAACGTTGTGAAGAATGGGTATTCTAGAACACTTAATTGTGCTCATGAGGATCCTGTACACAGACCAAGTTTGAACAGAACAAGGGGATATTGAATGGTCTGAAATCAGGAAAGGTGTGTGTCAGGATTGTAGTCTTTCATCTTACTTATTGAATCTGTCTGTTGTTGTTAATTACCGTGGAGTTGGTTCCGACTCAGAGTGACCCTGTATAGAGTTTCTGAGGAGCACCTGATGAGTTTGAACTACTGACCTTGTGGCTTGAAGCCCAGTGCTGATTCTACAGCACCACATCAGGAGAAACTAATCCAA